TGGAATTCAACAAAAACTTCTATTTTGTAGTCAGAATTTAACAAATAAATTATTTACTTGTGATGGACTGTTTGAAACCTTTGGTATAGTAATGAATATTACTGGAGTTTTTTCCCAGCACCGAACCGTTATTTTACCACCTCAACACGTGTTTAGATCACCAAGTGATCACCTTCAAGAGGAAGATCAAACTGTTCTCTCCTGTTCTTTGTGTACGGTAATGATCCATTCATCAACATTGAAGACGAAGTTATGTGTCGATGACACCACAAAATGGCATTCTGAAATGAGAAAGCAACAAAATGAAAATAACATTTCAGAGGTCTTCATCGAATTTGAAAATGGGAGAAACGCTTCTTTCAGTACTTTGACAACATACTATATCTTTGAAATGACCACTTCATGACATTCCTCTAGAGTCTACAGAATTCAAGAAATGGGTCAGTCGAAAACTAAATTGTTGACTTAACGTTCAGATGACATTCTACTATTTGATAAACATATATCGAATTCATACGAAAAAAACTAGAATTTATTTCACATAATACGCTTTTGCACCTGTACCATAAAAGCTCATGATTGGATCATTCGGAAATTCGTCTTTGAAGTTACCCAAGACTGAACTTGTTACTGAAATATTGAATTGGTTAACTATACTGTAATTGGATGTATCAAACCTACTTATGTTAATTTTCATGAATTCATGAAAATTTTCTGTACTTACTTTCAGAATGAGCGAGTCGGTATCTATGTAAAGTAGAGAGACATTTTCACCAAAGTGTTGTTTGATGCATCCATAGAAAAAGTCATATATGACTGTTTTAGATAATTCTAATATGGAAAATCCCAAATATAATGGTTTATCGTAATGGACTTTAACTTTACCCAATTGAATGGCAACGAAATTTTCTGAGAAAATTGAACAATTTTTGAAATTTGGTCTGGATATGAGAGTGCTGGCACCTATATTTTTCTTTTTTCCCAATGTGTAACGAGTCTAACATCAATTCTGTTATCTACATTCTCCATTGTCTTTCCATATACCGCATTATTCATTAGTTTATAGAAATTTTTAACAGATTTGTGTTAGACCTATTACGCATTTCAGTATTAAGATCTATATAGGGTTTCATCCAATGTGATTGTTTGAATTTCAATACTCTATGTGTATTGATTAGAATCAAACCATTTTTGGTGGCTTGCTATAGATTTCTATAATGAACTATATTTTTTCTTTTATCATTCAAATATGGAATTAATTTGGGAATTTTTGATTGTGTACGACGTGGTATTAATTTTTCAACTAAAAATGGAAGATCAGAATGTTTATCATGCAACTCTTGTGGATAATGAATGTCCACTTCAAACACATACTCATACGGACTATCAGCACTGACATTCATCACATCAAGATAAAGAATTTCATTAGGTGTCAACCATGTAAATTCACTTGTTGGTAGAGGTTGTGACATACTATGACCGTATAGATTTGTTGCATCTAAATATGTAATGAATGTGGAAGGTTCATTGGGATTATAATTTGGTAACAATTTATTATGTTTCCTTTCACTACACTGACTAATTCCACATCGTATACCTTTTTGAAAAAAGGGAATCATATCAATGTCAGTTAGTAATTCCAATTCAATATTCGTATACTTCAACATAGCATCCCAAGATAATCCAGGTGCAGTGTAATAATGTGCCGGGTCTAAGTTATATATCTCTAAACTTGTGGTGCGAAAGTTTTCAAAAAGATCACATAATAGCAATGCATCCGACTTCAAATAAAAATCAGAGTATTCACCCAAATTTTGACACTCGAATGAATTCCACAAATTTCTAGCCCTGTCATAATCATTTTCTGATATATGTTCACTACTGAGTTTGTCATAAAACTGATTTTTTGTCGGAAGTGATGGATAATTCAATTTGTCAATGTCATCATCGAAACTCTATGGAAATACACCTTTCTGTCTCATCAAATTGAATTTCTCAATTTGTGGGAAATGTTTGTGCATCTCCAAACATTGATCAGAGGTCAAGTTAGCACCCAACTTCTCCAACGAATTAGTCATAAATTTATAACTATCGTTAAATCTCATTTTGAGATATTTCTTCTTAACCATACCATCTTTATCGGTATAGGTGTGTGTAAAGAGATGCTTCGTGAAAGATATATATTTCTCTTTTGTTTGCGGGATAACATCAACTTTCTCTTCATTCCTATACAATTCTTTTATGAATGAATGGCAATCATAACCACTTAAATTATGGAAAATAATAGGTAAAAAATTAGGTTTTTTAATTTAAAATTATATTTTGAATGAGCGGCATGTGATCTTTTCTTCACCATTAATAAATGGTTTATTACATATACTACAAGTTCTGGCTGCAGCAAATTGTTCCTCTTTTTCGACGGTTTGTGCATCCATTGGTATAGGGTATCTGAGATGATTTTGATATATCTTTTTCAAATCATCACAAATTTCTGAGCAGCATCTACGCCCCTATATGTAACAAATTTTGACAAATCATCATTTTATGAACATTTTATCAAATAAGCAAATGAATATGGGGCATGTTTGAATGTTTTAATCGTGTATGAACTTTCGGGATTTGGCTCATTCACGTGAATCGGTTCAAGTACTGATTCAAAATCAGCATATACTACAAATGACACCCTCATTTGTCTCTCAAAGTTTTCAAACATTAATTTATTTTCCGCAACCATCATACCATATTTATTGATCTTAAAATTGGTGGTTGGTGTTGTAGTACTAACGAGATTACAATCATTTATCTTATGACGTAAAAGCAATCTCTCGTTGGAAAAATACATCAAACATCCATCACAAAAATATAAATTCGTCCTCCCAGTGGACTGTATTTATTAATGTTGACCTCGAGAAACAATATTTTTTCACAAGTCCAACCTGAATTATAAAAAAAAAATATTACTATTCAATCTTATTGAAATTTTTAAAAAATAAATACCTGAGTCACGATCCTGGAACTCAGTCGTTTGAGCCACAATTACATCACGGAATCCATCAAAAACAGCATTCAAATCTGAAGATTGGTCCACTATTTTATTTTGTGAATTAAATGACTTCGTGCCCCTCAAATCTTGAGTCTGAAGAATATAATTCCCAAAAACTTCCATATTCACCTTGATGCTTTTATGGATCCTGATGGCTGATTCCAGTAATTCAATGACGTTCTACCTAATCTCATTAAAAAATGACATGTAGTCAGTGGATACAATCGAACTCTCCACCCTGTATGTAGCAATGCGGCAATTGAATGCATTCGTTATAATTTGAACACCGTCAGACAATTGAACACATGCATTATTTTTATGACTCATGGTTCTTCGGTGAGAATTCACTTGGGTCATAGGAATTATCACATTACAACAATTGCATGTATACATAGGTGTTGCATTATCCACTCTCACCCGTTTCACTGCAGGCCCTCCTTGGCAACTCTGGAGCTGATGCCGACGAAGATTATCACTACGAGTGAAAGATTTACCACAGTCACAGGAATACATTTTCTATGATACGTTCTCACTAACTCACTTGATGAAAACTGACATAACCAACACTAGTCCGCTTCTCGTTCAGTCTGATCGAGTCCGTCAAGATGTCTTATCCAACCCCACCTCTCAGCTACATGCATTAACCCAACCTCTCAGCTAGATGCGTTAACAGATATTGATATCGATACGTACAGTGGTTGTTGCGCCATCGTGAAGGACAGACGCTAACACAGTCCTCGCCGCCTGCGCGTCACCATCGACAGCGAGGGTGTTAGCGATGCGTTACGTCACAGCCATCGCCTCATCGAGAGAGAGGTGAGGACACACCAATGAATACGCATTACTCAGCCACAAGCCGTGGAGTGCACATCTCACTCTCCTACCGTTGAACGGTTGCTGCTGTGACGTCACACCACTAACTTGGTGGGCTCCCACCAATGGAACATTCATAACTTGGAGGATCTTTGAAGTATGCAGACGTATGTTTGTACATTGACACGCACATGATAAACCCAGTACCGTGCATTCTCACACACACCAACCAAATGTAATAACGTCATTATGTCACACACAAAATCTCATATGAAAAAAATTATGAATGATCCATGCACCAGACACTTCAAGGTCACATCGCCTTGAATTTACTAAACAAAAAAATTCGTTCTTGTGGTGGGGGGAGGCTCAGAAACGGCTGTAATCTGCTACTAAGATGACTATGATTCATTTCTATTTCATGTATATGACATTATTTTTTTATTTTGTTTTTTCTCTCATGTAAGCTTTGTCAACAAGAGTTTCTCTTTGGACAATAAATTATTATGGATTAGAAAATGAATATCTAAAAAATTATTTCTATTCGGTATAACTTCATCTTTAATTTTATTTACAGGACTTTCAAAATTTACAACCTTGTGAATTATTAAACTATGATATTTAAGTATGTTTGGTTTATGAATTCATAATTACTTCAAATATTCCATTTAATATCAGGTAAATATCTGGTTTGCCTACATCAGGAGCTTTTGAATTTTTATTTTGTTTGTACTCACATAAAATGATGAACAGAACACGATTCTGTTCAGCAGCTCTGACAAAATAGGCTTTGTACCAATACAAGATTGAAGCAAGGAGGAAAAAAGTGTAGGGTGGTGAAAAAAAATATGTAAAAGTATCCCAATCGTTTTTTACGCAAAAAGAAAGTTAATCTTTAAACCTTTAGAAAAACCGTGATTTCCAAACGAAAGGAAGGCTACTTTTTGACTTTTACATAAGTAGAAACAAAATTTTTTCTTTGGCTAAATTAGTGCAAGATCATTTGCAAATGAATAATGAATAGAAAATCGAATACAAAAGTGAACTTCATCACTTTTACAATTATTGATTATTACATACTTTGAAAATCTTTTCAAATATCTTTTTAAACTTTCATAGTGATGGAAAACTTTAAACCAACAAAAAATTTTAAGCAGTATATTAGTTCAAGCTGGTATAATTTATGCTTTATGTTTTACTTGAATACCCTGTTGCAATTTAGAATGACTTTTAACACTAGTATCACTACTCGAGTCACTACTACTACTTGTTTCACTATCACTGGTGCTCGAATCACTTGAGTCACTGGTAGAAGAGTCCGAGTCTGTACTATCACTGTCTGAACTTCTACTTTCCAGAGCTTTGTGTTTTAATTTTGGCGTGGATATGACTATATCTTTACCTTCTTCTTTCGCTTTTAACCTTTTCTTAAGCTGTTGACTTCTAGAAGATCGATGTACATATTTTCTTTTGCCAGTACATTCGTATGACCAATGGCCATATTCAAGACATTTTTGACATCGAACTCCTTGAGGAGGATAGACATTAGTTTTTCTGAAATTGTATTTTTGTTACACACTAAATTTCAATATTATTCCAAAAAACTTACTTTTTACCATAATAGGCCTTTGTTGACGATCCCAAAGTCATTTCGTTTCTGTTTGGGCACAGTGGCACAAAATATTGTTTATTTTTCAATAGCTGTGGTTTGGCTCGTTTAGGAATGTAGGAACACAGATCACAGCATATGTAACAATTCTTCTTCTTCTTCTTCTTTTCGATTCAGTGGCCTCAGCAACTAAGGCTATCCGGCCAGTTGGTAACGAACGTTGTTAAGTCCAAATGTGGCCACACTTAAGTGGACCTGGGGCGAACTATGCTGTGATAGGAAGGATATAGACACTATAGCCACAAGCACAAATTACATAAATCTGTGGCACAGAATACCATACGGTAGAGTAGAGACACTCATCTGACGGCACATAGACACAGCATAGGTAATAGATATATTGAGGGTTCAAGTTTCTTTACCTATATTCTGTGTCTCCCTCTCCCTCTCTTTGTGTTATGTTAAGGCCAGTTCTTCTCATGTTACATGCCATTCGTGCCCACAGCACGACTCGTATACCAAAATATAGATGTTATATGATCAAAACACTTAATTTTTTCATCAAACACAGTAAAATTCAAGGTTTGTCAACTACAACATAACATGATCGTTACATCACTTTCAAATTGTAAGTAGTAAATGACTACGTTAGAGAAAACGGTCAAGGTCAAATTTCTTGGGTGGCAAATTACGTCGTCACGACGGCTATTCTGATTCGCATACAAAATTTGAATAACTAAATTTTCATGTCTCCTCTAACATTCAAATACCCAAAATTCCTTTTTCGTGAAATGAAATGTTTTAGAAAGATGATCTTCTGGCACAGTGTCATCGTCTATTAGTTGAGATATTGAGAATACCCAATAGTATCATTGTTGGAGAAGAACTATGCTAAAGGTCTGCAGGTCAGCAATAAGTTATTCTGAGTATCTAGGGCCTATTACTTTGTAGGGCGGTAGAAATTTCACAAGCCGAGCCTCCCAGAGAAATAAATCTACCAGAATAATTTTTTTACGAAAAAACTTCGCCTATCAGGTATAAATAATCACGTTTCTCATAAAATAAAAACATTGCAAGTTGGTCTCCCAGGGAATAATCTCGACCAGATTGATTATTTTCGACATTAAAACCAACCTCCGTCTATCGGATATGAACTCCCACTATTCAGGTAAATAAATCAAATTTCTTATAAAACTGAAAATGAACCTTGCAGCTTGACGGAGAATGATTTCAGCCAAATTATTCAATTCCTACAAATGAATTCCAACCATACATTCTTTGGGTATGAAAAATTTCTCATTTCTAATAAAATTAAAAATGCAGGTCTGGCGTTCCATAGAAGCAACTTGATCAGATTAATCATTTCCGACAGAAAAAACGTCAACCGCCACCCATCAGGTAGAAATAAACAATTTCTCATAAAACTAAAAAAGCTTGAATATCGGCAAAAAAAATTCAACCACCACCCTTCAAGTGAAAAATGATTTTATGTTTCTCATAAAATTGAAGATAAACCTCGCAGATCTGTAGACATTCTTGGAGACCTGCCAGAAAAAAAAGTGGAGTAATCAATCATCTCCGACATTCTCAGGGTACCTATAGAAAAAATTCACATTTCTCATATTACGTAAAATAAACATTCCAGGTCGGGCGATGGGTCGGGCCTATTCTCTGCCTCTGGACACAGAATACTCTCTGGGACTATTACTTTGGAATTAAACGGCGTTGATCTCTGCTAATCAAGTTAGCCATAAATCCCTCATTTTACCCCAAACTTTTGCAGGTATGAGTAGATGCACCAGGGTTTTTAGACATCTTACTTTGGAATCCATGAAATAATTCACACTTGCCTCCGACCATGTGATTTAAAATATTATTAAGGGTTTTACCACACAATGGATATTATTGTGAATATCAGTGGTACAGTGCATAGTGGCATGTTGTTTTTTAAATTTGTCTTTTATTATGTAAAAAAATTGTGTAGAATTTGAATTCATATCACATGTTCATCATTTATATGATGAATCGAAATATTCGGGTGGGTTATTAAAAAATTAATGATGAAGAAAAATGAACATGGATAAAATTTAGAAATGCAACAGTGCAATTTGTAAGGAAAAACAAATTGTGAAGTGGAAATTAATTGATGAATGAGATAAACAATAAGTGAAATGTCGATAATATGCAAATAAAAATAAAAAATGAAATGTGCAAAGAAAAAAACAATGAAAAATGACCAAATCGAAAGACTTGTATTGCTTGCTACCGAAATGATATACTGAATTTTTTGTAATTGAGTTAGATAAAACCGTGAACTTATTACATGGAAAAGTGTATTCTGAACATAATCACATAACAACTATGTTTTCAAAATAACTAATAACAAATGAGAAAAACAATTTTCTCTTTTTTTATGTCTGTTGCTTTCCTCTAGGGTATATTTGAGTATTTGGCCAATTTCGTGGGGAGCCATCGACATAAAGGTTATGTCGGTGTGGGGAGCGCAGCAGCTTGCTCGAGGCAATTCTGCTACCCCCTAGTTATTTTACTCATGAAAAACATTTACAAAGAGAAGACTCTAAATTTTGACAGCAACTTCTAGCTATCTTCCTTAGGGCCAGTTGTATAGGTCTCGTTTATAGTTTAGTTTAAACTTGGGTTTAAGCTTATATTTGAACTTAGGTTTAAACCGATAAACTGCTAAAATATCTTTTGTATATCTTTCAGTTAAAGACTCGTAGGTAGACACAACATTGACAAGTGAATTGAAATTGACCTGCCGTCGTACATTGACGTAAATGTCATATGCAATTTGCTTCATAAGTTCATAATCTGACTCTAATAAAATTTAAATTGAAAATATAATAAAAAGAAATTCTGTAATTTATCAGTTTTTCATTATCACAGTGTTTGATATATCAGCCCCTTTTATGCTAGGCTCTAGAAAGTTACATCTTCTCTAACAAATTTTGTATATCGCAAATTTTTTCAACACATCTTCAAGTTTTATTATTGAAGGGTTTTTGAATTACATTCACCTGATATGAATATCAGTTTGAGAAACTGATTTGTGAAAATATCAGCAATAGAAGCCAAAACAAAATATGCTTTNACTTTTTTAATAAAATCCAATATATGATAAAATAATCAAGTAGGCCATTTTATAGGTTTCGTTCAAAAAAAATTTTTGGATTAACCTCTGACGTAAACGATAGATAGAACAGTAGTTAAACTTTAGATCGGGTTGGCATGCGTATTCTGCAAGGAAATAATAATAATAATAATGTCAGAGTCTCTGACATGGAAAATATTGTTGTAGGTGAAGGAAATTTCACCAAATGTATGTATGTTTTTACGTTTAGTGGTCGAAAGGACCATGCGAATTTGTTGAAATTTTTTTTTACAAAAAAAAATCCAATATGTTGTTATGATTGAGGTATAAAAGTTTCATTACCCAAAAAGTTTCATCGAGCACTTAAGGATCATTATTGAGTTGATGTGTGGAAATAAGTGTTAGGAATCACACGTTAAAAGGTAAGACCTCGTTAATCCTTAGCTCGCACAAGTTTCGACTTCTGAGGGTTGTCGTTCGTAGGGGTGCGACAGCTGGTTAACGGAAAAACAGATTTTTAAACAGAAGTATAAATTCAAAATATTCGAATAATTTCTGTCAGTGTTTTGGTGATTGGACTGTGTTCAATTCTTTTTCCCAGTGTATTTTCCATTAGTGAGGTATTATGATTCATGATCTTGTTGATATATGGGATGATGTTGCTGAACCGAATTGAGCATATACTGGAACGACCAACGAATCAATTGAGTGTACATTATCACAACTCGAAATTACGTTAATGTTAATTTCTTTTTGGAATCACAGCTGGAGTTCTGGCACCCAGTTGTAAATAATGAGATTTTATGCGTGCGGAAGTTATATAGGTTATATAGGTTATATTGGTCGAATCTGATCTTAGTGGCATTCATAAATCAACCGCATTTCTTGTCATGAAAAGAGTATTTAAAGCAATAACTTGTTCAATTTATATATCAAGATGCCAGAATATGAGGAAGTATTGAGAGTAACACATAATTTTTTTGAAATTCTCAGTTTTCCAGATGTGATTGCAATAATGATCCTCATATAAGGATCGAGTCTCCAGGTATATATAAATATACAAATCCAACTCACCAAACATGTTTCAGGTAATGTTCTATGAAAAAAATTCATAAGCAGTGGTTTTTTTATGATTTTGATGCATGTGTGCTTGTCAAAATTCTTAATACTGTTAATGATATTCATGATATTTCTTTGATGTAAATAGTTCTGGCTATCCTTCTGATGTCAATTGAACAACCATTAACGAAAGACCGGCCAACAACTGTCCATAAATTCCTATAAAAACGTCAACTTTTCAACTATGAATATAACTGCTATAATCGGAACTTAAGCGGCGAAACGCTGCAAGTGGTTTGAAATTTGATCTATAAAACGGGCTCTTAATGCTATACGGCTATTCGACAAATATCAGTGTCGCCAACAATAAATGTCCGAAACATGTGCAAGCATTTTTATGTGAATTTAGTTGAAACATGCGGGTAGATCGCGTACCTTTTGGTATCAGTTTGTAGTTTGTGTGTTATTTCTATAGAACACAAATTGATATTTATTATCTGATATTAGTTTCTGAGTTCTGCAGTAATTCTATAGAGTTTGGTGTATAATTTGCTAATTTGACATTGGCAACCCTGTTCTCAATGAAACGTCATCAAAAAACGTCATGAAGGAAGATCAAAGAATAAGTAAATTTCATCTTTCAACACCATAATGGCGTCTGTTAATGACAATGTTTTAGTGTTTCGAATGAAATGAGTATATAAAAGTTGAAATTGAGTTTATCCGAATACAAACAATCAAAACATTGAACACTATGGATGCAGTTAAATCCTTCAATCAAGAGGTATGCATTCTATCTACATAAATATCATCAAATTTATAGTAAAAATTTTAGACGCGTATTCGAGATGTTATAATTTGAATGATTATAATTTTTCCAACAATTTCATTAATTAGTGTCTTTTTTGTTACAGCTTTCCGCTCTTTATGAGGTTAAACCCCCTATATCTAAAGCCAAAATGACTGCTTTAACTAGGGGAGCCATCAAAGCCATAAAATTTTACAAACATGTTGTTCAAAGTGTTGAGAAGTTTATATTGAAGTGTAAACCCGAATACAAAGTGCCTGGACTATATGTAATAGACTCTATTGTGCGTCAGTCGAGACATCAGTTTGGATCCGATAAGGATGTGTTTGCACCCAGATTTTCAAAGAATATGCAGCAAACTTTTGTCAATCTCTTCAAATGCCCTCCCGAAGATAAGGTGAGATATATTTCAAATTTATTCTGAATTGATAGACGTTCAACAATATTTTTCGAATTCTTGTAAGACAATCTATTAAGCCATATCATATCCGGCATTTACAGTAGAACTCATTGACTGGTGATGAATAAATTGTGATATCTCAATTTTTAGAGATAGTAGACAGCTTTTTGAGTCTTGGAAAAACAATTTTTCGATCATTTCATTAGGTTGAATTTCCATGATGAGTTTTACGTTCCTTATTGATTTTGAGTCGATTTTTCTGTCTGTTCAAAAACTGTAATATTACTTTAACAATATACGATACATACATATAGGTAGACACAATAATTTTGGAAAAACTCATCAAACAAGTTGGTGACTTATTTGTAAACCATAAATTACTCCTTGAAACTCATTAATACAGTTTATTGTATGTTTTTCATTATAAAGGGTTTTACAAAAACCGCAACACTTGTTTCGCTATACAATAGCTTTTTGAGTGTAAAATAATAAGTTACTTATTATAATAAGAAGTAATTTACTGTTTTACGCTTGAGAAAGCTATTATTTTTGTAAAACCCTTTATAGAGAAAATCATACAATAAACTGGATTAATGAGTTTTTATATGGATTTTCATAAGTATCGCCCAGTTCTATTCAATTAATTATTTCTTGTATTATTCATCAATCAATATTCTTCTACAAATGAAAATTCAGTGTTTGCTGTTGATTTATGTTATTATAATTACCAAATAAGTAAAAAGTTTTGTTATCGTAATACTGCATTTCAATTTTTGAGAAATTTATGAATTGTTAACTATTACAACATGAATACCAAAATGATGTCATCAATTTTTTCCCTGATCTTTGATTAGTCTTTCAATTGATAATTTTTATTCTATCTCGATCAACATATTTTGGGAAGGAATTGGGTAACTCAAAATACTTGTTAAAATAGGTTATAGTGAAAATATTGTCATTTATTCAGTATAAGTAATTTTGGTTATTCTACCAATGCTGGTTGGACATCAAAAGCATACCTATTGTAAGTTCAAACTAAAAAGAAAGACGGGGGTTTCAATGTTGAAAATTATCCACTTATTATTTTAATGATGAAGAAAATTCATTATTATTTAGGCTACATGTAGTTGTCTTGATTTTAATAATTAAAATAGTAGCAACTTGTAATTTCCTCATTGTAAAATTGTACTTATGTCTTTACTGTCTGCATTCTCATTCACTTGTAATTTTTTATTTCTTTCTACTTTCTATGAATTAGAAAAGTTTTAGTTCACAATCAATCTATTCATTTACTTCCAGTGAAGTACCATATTTTTTGAACTACCAAATTGTATAAAAAATTCAGCATTTTAAGAAACTAAGTGAACCATAGGGGATAAAAGTAAAAAATAAAGAAAATGCCGCAAAAAAATATAAAGCTTCTATTATCCATAAATAATGTAAACGTCGATAGAAAAAATATTTCCACATTCAAATCTTTCAACTTCCTTTAGCCAATGAAAGTCTGATCAAGAAACATTGTTAACCACATTCAAACAAATAGACCGTAACAGGTGAGGTTATCATTTGGAGCACATGTATTTTTCCTGATTCGGCTACTCTGAGTAAATGTTATTGTCCATGACATAACTTCAAATGAATATTGGGGAAATAAAATGGTAATTGTATACAATTGAAAGGCTTTCAAAACAGCAAATTGAAGTAGAAAATGGAGAATATAAACATCATTAAAATATGATAATAGACACTGATGACAAATGCACAGTAGTCAATACAGAAAAAAATCATGTGCCACAAAGAAATCTTCATCTAATATGGTCTATGGTTCATAATCATTGACGTTCATTAAAATGATTTCAACAACTAAATTCAGTTAAAAACAGTACTTGTGCAAAAACTAAGTTGAATCAGTAATATAGTTTTCCACTTTGTCTTGATTTGTTAGTTGAAAGAAAGTGAATCTTTCCAAAATATCAAACAGTAACTCAAATCAAATGAAATGTTTCTATTATTGACATTTATAACAAAGTATTGGTCAATAGAAAGAACCATATTTGTGGTCGATAAAGATATTTCGACTAATCCTAATTCACACATACTTGATCTAATACATTGGTTTACATCAAGACATTTGTCTGAAGCATTGTCAGCAAAAAAGTATTTGGTTAAGTTAGGTTAAAACTGAGTAGGTCTATTCCACTTAATATTGATGTTGGAATGGATTAATATTGATAATTCTCGAGTGCTTTTTATGTGCTGATAAGTCCTGAATTTATATAATTGGACTACTAATCTAATGAATATTGATAATTTTTCACATGGTAGAAATGACACATTTGAAAAGGTATGACCTTGTTAGTCCTCAGCTCGCAAAATTTTTGAATTTATTGTTTATATTGGGACAAGTGCTGGTTAATGAAAAGGCCAATTTCAATCTCCATTTTCAACTTACACCCATTTGCTTACACTCCACACAGCAGAATATAAAAGCAAATACAGCAAACATACATGCATCAATACCAAGTATACAGCCAAACACGCATCTTACACAATTTAAACTTCAAATAGAAAGATATATGAAACTATTTACCCTTATTGAAAACACTGTCCACCATCAAACCAAAGTAGTCTCTTGACATGCTTTTCATAAACCACGTTAGTATAATCAGGAGATGACCATCACTAAATCTTACAACTATGAGTTTGATGAAATTATTTGAACCTCATTACCACAGGTGATGATTTGTTCAGGTATGTAAAAAAATAAAGGAAAAGACACCAAATTTGATTTTTGAATAATCTATTTCATTTTAATGAATGAATGTAAAATCAAAGTATGCTTTTATTGTATGTTCTTTTTTGTCCTAAAAACGTCCAATAGGCTGAAACAGCTGTCTACCGATGGCTCTTAAATTGAAATCAATATGGGAATGATCGGAATAGTGATTTTCATGGAATTATTTTCCAGTAGCTTGACTGCATTAACCTTTCTTGATTTTATATATAAAATCATAAGGGTCCTCAATTTGTGGCAGAAAAACCAAGTATTTCCTCCTGAAGTCATTCAACCGCTCTTTGATTTTGCCGATCCAAACAACCCTGTCTACAAAGAAATAGATGCTTCAATGCAACAACAATCAAGTAATGGGCTCAATGCTTCATCTGCATCTATCATCAAAGGTTGGTATACATTTTTTTTTATTTTGACTGTATTTACATGCAGTGTGCCAAAGTTAAATTTTAGAAACTACAATATATTTCTGTATAAGTATCAGTGTTTGGCATGCTGCGATGGGCTGGCATATGTCTAAATAAGTTGTTCATATTAGGTTCCCCTGCTCTGCAACGAACACCAACCAAAGGAATCCAACCAGGATCAGACAGCGTCCATGGATCAACAAGTAGTTTGGTACCAATCGTTCCAAGTTTATTATTAAAATAAACAACTCACTTTTATTATAACAGGAGAAAAAATTGACCAGACATATTCAGTGTGCTACAAAGAGGATATTGAACTCGTCATCAGTCAGATCAATTCATAAACTTTCAGAAATAATTTATCTATTTGGCGGTCTAATCTTGGTCTAATAATTGGTTTAATTTGAATATGGTGGAAGTTTAAGGATCAGAAGAATAGGACTCTGCCGAATTCAATTCAGTATCAATATTTTGATATTCTCAGATTATACATTTGAAAGAATTGTCAAATTGTCTGTTGGAATTTTGATGAGCCTCACGTTCTGTTGAAATTGACTAAACTAAAGTATCCATGTTATTCAAAAAATATTTGACTTTTTCTCCAAAATTTTCCTGAAGCACAAGTGATATATGGGTTCTCTGAATTAAGGCAACTGGTAGTAAAAAAGATGAAATGTTATGTTAAAAATGAATGTTTCGAAGCTTATAGAGGGAAATAATTGATGACATCAAAAAATAAGTTTTAAGACATGATCAATAATACAAGCTATTAATAATTAGTTTAATATACATAAATAGAGCTTCAGGAAGGAAATGGTAAAAACAGTATATAAAAGGTGTAATGAAATACCAGTGACTGACAGAAGAAAATATACAATACTACAACAACATACTAAGACAGCTGTTGAAATATTCAATTGAGAATACAATCTAGCCTATTTCTATCTATACTCAAAAATTAATTCTATTGCTGACTAAGGTCACTACATTGTCACTTACCTGACCTTTATTGACTTCGGTTTCTTTGATATGCATTTGGCTGTAAATATGAGTCAAACTCTCAAAAATGCAAGTATGATTATAATATAATTTGAGAATCCAATTTACCTTTAAATACATTATATTACTTTCCCTATGAATCATTGAAAAAAAACTAAGAAAAATGGCGTTGGCAACAAAAAATGTGAAACAGTTTCGAATGTAACTAACAGCGGTAATCCAGTTGAAAGTCGTCACATAAAAACCAAAAAAGGAATTTCAAGAAAGCAGACTACAAAAAATCTGATGAATATATGTCTCTTAATAGATAGCTAGGAAATCAAAACGAAACCTCAGATTAAATGATCTGTTTTCAGGATTATCAAAAGAAAAGTGAACCATATGGAACAAATTAGGATGAACTTTTCTGACAGGAGGTAACATCCAAGTGATATAACAATTTTTAACCAGAAAGATCTGTAAATAATCTTTTGACATGCCTCAGTAAATACACTCTCAAAGCGCAACCAATAAAATCCTGCAGGTATATATTAGGCTTTAAAAAAAATCGATTGAGTATAACATGACAAACTCATGTTGAAACATACAAATACAAAGTATATTTGAGTGAGTAAAGAATTCCCTTGAAAATAAAACATTTCAAATCAGCAATATACAAAGTAACAACAACGATCTATGATAGGAATGCAGTGATATGTGGTAGCTGAGTTAGACGAGATGTATTATTCCGCACGATCGCTAAAATAACACAGAAACAAGACACTACCTGAATGGATCTTTGTTGAACCTTGTTGACAGATATACCTAGGAATAATTAATTTAGTCAAAAATAAGCAGTCATCATGTACTTCGACAATTGAAAGAACTTATTCCTATTTTTTTTTTCAAGTTTTGCAACTGGTGATCTATCTGATACTCTTAACTGTAGTGTTGTTTGGGAGGGATGGATAAAATTATTTTTGAGAAAGTTTCATACTTTATTGATACTACAGTAAATTCGGACTGAACCAAGCCTACCATTTTATATCGGGTGTAAAATTTTCACTAAATTGTCACCATTTCATATACTGGTATGGCGTAACTCGGCCGCCACCTTGAAAAAAATTATGTGATCATTTTTTTGAGTACAACTCGTGAACTATAAAGACTACAAACATTTTGTGGATAGATAATATTATCTACAACTTTTTTCTATAAATTTTTGTTATATTTCTATGAAATGGGGATACTAAAAATGAAATTCCTGATAATAACTCTTAAGATCTGTAAATCTGTTAATCTGTTGAAAATCTGTTTTTCCGTTAACCAGCTGTCGCACCCCCACGAACGACAACCCTCAGAAGTCGAAACTTGTGCGAGCTAAGGATTAACGAGGTCTTACCTTTTAACGTGTGATTCCTAACACGGGTTGGACGGTAGCAAGTGACGATCGATCGTTCAGACTAGGGCTTGAACCACCGACCAACACGGCAGTCAATTCGAGTGAGTGAACAAATCACCCACGCCGAACCGCTTGGCTACCGATCGACCTTGGCTACCGATCCTAAAAACTGATTTTCAAATTAAAGACTAGATTGCTTGATCAGGTGGTATATTATAGTCATCTATAGTATGTTTGGGTAGTACGGCTAGCCTTCAGTTATCTATGAAAATTGAACCACAGCCTGGATTTTCTTAAAAGCAAAACTACAATAAACCAATCACCAACAATTTGTGGATTAGGCCTACTTCAAAGATGGTTCAGGAGTAATAGCATAAAACAAAGAAGTTGATAAAACTAATATAGATATAATTTGTATAAATGTATGTACCTTTGATTTGTGGTTCTGAAATACCTCGACAAATGAAGAGAAAACTGTAAACATCAATAGATTGTTTTTTTGTTAAAAAAAGTTGTAAAAAAAGCTCTGACTTAAAAATTAAATCATTAGAATAGTTTTCACGCTTGAAAATGACATTTCCCCTTATTTTATGAAAAGAAAACCAATTTGAATTTCTTTGAAATTGAAAAAAATATAAGAAAAGTGTAATTACAAAAAAATGGCATATATTGACAAAAGGAAAAATTGACTATTCATTTTCAATGAAATGTATTCAAGTAATTTCACCAGTTTTTAAAATCGCAATACATGTTTCAGCATACAATGATTTCGTCATAAGTGTTGAATACAAATTGTTTGTATCGAACACTCATGAAGACGCTGTCGTATAGTGAAACACATGTTGTGAAATCTGTTTAGTGAAAATCTCTCAATAAACTTTATTTTTTGAGATAGCTATTACAGTTTTCATAACCAACACGTGTTTCACTATATAACTCCTTCAGACAAATTGTTTGTATTGAATTCAGTTAAAGAGGCTATTGTATAATGAAAGGCATGTTGCAGTTTTGCAAACTTTTTAGTGAAAGTCTTGTAATTAAGTGTTATTTGAATACATGTTCACCTTTTGTTCAATTAATTCAGGTTTCATTAACATAAACTTTTTCATACCTTGGATAATTAGACAATTAGATATTACTGTTGGACTGTTCTCCTTTTAAGAATGATGAGAAAATTACAGTGGTTGTCTAGATTTTGAAATTCTGTGAAAATTATAATTGAAAAAAATACATATTTTTTTTATTTATATTGTTTCATTGTCTCATGAACTTTCTACTACTTTTATGCACAATGGAAATAATAGTAATTTTAGCACGCCCTGTATGATATGTAGTCGATTTCTTGGTGTTATTTGAATATTTCGAGTTTGTCCAAACTATTATCA